CATCCACTGAGCTTCAGCACAAATTCTTCTGCCCTGGGGAAGACTTTAGCACCTGCCAGAGTGAAAATGATTGATTCCTTCTTCCATGTTCACTAGCTCATGTCTTTACCCTGATCCAGCCTATAGCTCACTCCTTCCTATATTTGATTTTGTTTCGTTTACATCCGTAGCATAAATTCCTTGAAGTAAGGAGTATTTGCTTTACTCCTACACAGCTCCAGTAACCATATACAGAGTGGGCAGTCAGTACGTTTGGCCCTGCCCTGAATACATTTTCAACAGCTCAATTGCTAGACACATACAAAGCATCTGAGAATTACAGTTATGGAGTCAAATTGAGATCTTAAGCAGTGAGGGGCTAGGGATAGTTTTAGTTTTTTCTTTGCAGGGGAGGAAGGATGGGGCAAGCACTAAAGCGAAAAGCCAGTTAGACTCAGCATGAGGACACCTTCTATTTACCCAGGACATTTCTCTGAGAGGTCAAAGTACTCCACAGATCTATCACAGTTATTGTCCTTAGGGCAATGGTGATGACAGCCTGCGAGCCAGGTAGTATCTCCAGAAATAACAAAATCCAGCTGTGTGTGTTTAAGCCCTCAGCCCCTATGGGTCATCTGCAGTTTGAGCTCATGTTGTTAGCTATTTGGGTAACAGGTGACAGACCCTGAGACTGGCCAAGGAAGAGCCCTCTGTGCCTCCATTTCTCTCTCTGAATGACAGGAGTAATCTATCTTATTCTCCCCAACTGCCAGGAAACAGTGTAACTGCTAGGAAAACATTGAATATCAGACTGGGATGGGTGGGGCTGGAGGAGCATGCTCTAAAGCAGTCCTAAGGCACATTCTTTTTGCGTAATAGATAACAATAGCTAGTATTTATTAAGGGGTTACAATATGGAAGGAATTGTTCTAAGCACTAGATGTGTATAAATTCATTCAATCTTAAAACAATCCTCTAGGGACCAGCAGATGGCATAATGGTTATGTCACTGGTCTCCCACATAGTTGACCTCGGTTCAAGTCCCAGACCTGGTGGCTCGAAACTCATGCCGGGTGTATACACATGTGTGTGTGTGTGCCCAAGATCTCAAGAGGAGAATGGAGGAGAAGGGATTGTGATGTGGCCACCACCCTGGGGTGTGTGTGTGTGTGTGTGTGTGTGTGTTTGTGTGTGATTTCTCACTTTCTGTCTCTCTCTGTCTCTCCAGTGAGCTTATGTGCCCTACAGCAAAAATTTCTCAAAGAAACAATCTTCTGAGGTAGTCCTGAGTTTGCAGAGGGAACAACTCAGACATCAAAAAGTTAAGTCAAAAGCCACAACTAATAAGTGGCAGACCCTAGAATGATACCAACAGCTGGATGCCACTGTCACACTCTCAATTATGTTCCTATCTTGTCTTCTGATGGCTGGCTCTTTAATTTTAAACCCAGTACAATATTTTCCACATTTCGTGCTCAGTAAATATTTGTTGCAAGTAAATCTGATAAAACTTGAGCACGGTTGAGAAGTCTCTCTCTTCTTCCCCATCTCCCAATTTTTCTGCATGCTCCTCTACTAAGTGAGGTACTTGACTTTTAATGGTTTGTTCTCCATTTAAGACCTACAAACTCTTGGAGACAGGTAAGTTTTTTTCACTTTTATGATAGAATGTATATAAGCACATTCTGGATCATTGGCATGACCATCTCATCCCAAGTACTACCCCTCGATTTCAGCACCTGTGCATGCTATTCCTTGGCACAAACAAGCAAATTATGCCTAAATGATGTAGGAGAGTCCGCGAAAGTCACATAGTACAAAGCCATAGGGTACGAGCAGAAGTGATGTGGCAGATAAAAGCAAAGAGGTGAGAGAATTGAGTCAGTCTTGGGCACCTTGCACATCAACAGAGACAGTCGGAACCACAGAGCTCAAAAATGCCCACACCTCAGTAGAGAGTAGCACGTTTTAATTTAAGCTGAGACTGGAGAAGTCTAAGAAAATTTTGCCCTTACATGGTAGATGTCAGTTTCCCTCATTAAAGAAACAGCACAATAGTGTGTTCAGGTTTCTCCTATTTAAAATCAATGGTAACTGTAAACACATTAGGTAAGTCATTAACACCTGGGTGTGAAATAGTATGTTAGTAGTTACTAATTTAAATTTTATTGTTCTGGGAGTTTTTATATTTAATTCATACATTTGTTTTGGTTTTATTTGTGAGTTGTTTAGAGGTTGTAGCAGGGTCCAGCTGCTGTGGAACAGCAGTAATACAAATTCCCTGCAAGGCTGGTAGCCATATGGCTGAGCACAGGTCCTACTCCTGGGTGGGTTTGAAAACACTGAAATATAAATTCACACTGGGTGTGCAGTGGCTGGGATCCTAGGGAGCTGGAGGGCTGGGGGAAAGCAATTACCATAGGGAGAGCCCGGGTTGAAGGTGCTTCTCTCTCTTGTGCACTCATGCATGGAAAAAAAAAAGTTGCAATCTTAAGTTTTTATCTGGTTTTATGTCTCTGTCTATATATCAATGAAATATTATAAAAGAAAATAATTTAAACCAATATGGGGTAGTTCTAAGAAAAGTTTGCCCTTAAATGGTGGAAAATATGAATTTCCCTTATATGGAAGAGATCCTACAGTGTGTTCAGGGCTTTTCTATTAAAAGTCGATTGTAAACACAAACAGATTAGGTATGTCATTAACACCTTGGTGTGAAACAGAATTGTACAATAGGCCCTCCCTGAGAGCAAGCTTTGATAGGAGAAGGGATAGCTAAGTGGCTTGATGGAAAAAACGTGGCCTCAGTCGGCAGCTGTGTGACTTTGGGCAGTTCATTAAGTCCTCTAAAACTCCTGTGCCTAATCATAACTCAGTGATCTCTGCCTTTCCACCACTGGCCTACCTAAAGCTGCTTCACAGAGGCGCTCACTGTGCGGTAATGGAATTCAATACTAACGTGCTCGGGCAGCGCACCGGAAGGTCGTCGCACTCGGTCTTTAAATGAGGAGGTCACCTGCCTGGCTAGAAGACCCTGGGCTGTGGACCTCTCAGAGTGACTCAGGGAGGAGGCCAGTCCACCAGCTGGCGTCCCACAAAGGACTGAGGCCCCTGGACTCACCAGCCAGTCCACCATTCAGAAGCTGCCAAGCCCCGCCGGGCTCCTGGCCCCCAGCCCCACGCACAGAACTGAGTGCTGTAGGGGACTGAAGGTACTGGTGGGTTTGCCACCGCAGCGCGGGTTTCTGTTCCTCGAGGCGCCTAGAGGAGACCCTGCGTGAAGAAGGAAGGAGCTTGATCATCACCTTAGAGCGCTCAAATAGTACGTAGGGTTGGGCGCCAACGCCTCAGATCTGCCCTGGGGCTCCCTGTGCACCAGGTGCAGCCTGCGTGCCTAGCTCTAGGCTGCTGGGCCGCGGGGGACAGTTCCGGAGGGACACCTGGTCTCTGCGAGCTGCAGTGGACTCCAGGCAGCGCAGGCCGTGCCCTGGCTCTGCAGGCTGATCCTAGCGCGGGCGCGTGGTGTTCGAAGGTGCGGTGCGCCGGTCCCGGCCAGGGCCTGTGCTCGCTGGCGCAGAGAGGCCGCAACGGGCGAGTGCTGCACCCGCCAGGGCCCACCTGAGCACGGGCCCGCTCGGCCGCCCAGCCCTGCTCGGCCCGAGTCTGGGCGGGTGGGGGGGGGGG